TTTCTGCTTCCTTTCTTGTGCTAATAAACTGTGCTAAAGACATCTTGCTCTCTCCCTTCTGCAAAGCCCAGGCACCCCCTCCACATTGCAGACTCAGACCCCTTTAGCTTTAGTAAGTGAGGTCTGAAACAGAGAATTTAGTCCAAAGAATAATCAAAATATTATTTGTCTAATGATAGCCATAGGTCAAAAACATTCACAGGTGAAAAAATATCTCAAAAATCTAACACCCAAAGCCTACAAGTAGTTACAGGCCCTAAAGGTCCCCAAATTTCACAGAGCCCTGACCCTCCTATCTGTCCTCTTTGTTGAATCTCTTGCAGTAAAATCCCATAGCTTGCAATCCAAACCAGACCTGACTCATACTGATGCTCCCTCCCCTACCCCTTGCATAAATAGAATTTAAAAGGGAGTTTCCAGCATGACCTAGTGGATAGAGTACTCTAAGCAGAAACAAAGACAGTCTCAGCTGTGCCACCAGTAGAGCTATGCTCTAATGGGTAAGTCATCTAATCTCTGTGAGCTTCAGTGAAGAGGAGTGCTAACATCCTTTTCAATTCTAGTGCCCTATGAATGCTACAAATGTACCTGAAAATCCGGAGATCTGAAACGAATGAGGATTTAAGATATCATGAAAAGTTTTTCAGATTAGGAGCCTAAACTCAGAGATTTGAAGTCTAATGTTAGCTTAGCCAAGAACTAGCTTTATGACCCAGAAAGTTACCTAAGGGGAACCTATCTTCCACAACAAGAATTAAGAAACCTATCCTGCATATCTTCAGGAATACTGAGAGGGCCAATTAGATATAATGAATGTGAAAGCATTTTGTAAACCATAAAACAGTATCTAAACATACCTTGCTATCATTATTTATTGTCCTCATCAGTAGCAGTAATATTCTCAAACCCTAAGAAGCAATGGCTTAGTGTAAATTATTCAATCTCTCTAGTATTTCATTCTCTTCAATTGAGAAATAAAAAGATAGAATTATATAGTTCTAAATTCTTTCCAACTACAAACTTCTGACTCTCTATGAGTCAGAATGGAGGAACATAGCAGGAGATAAATACAAAAATATTCATGTCCTTTGAAAACACACAACTGCAAAACATACCACAAAGGAACAAGACTAATATTGCCAAGGGGTAGCACTAAATTAGTTACTTTCAATTTATTTGATACTCTTATCAATTATTTGAGTTGAAGACTACTATGTCCATTTTATTTTTAATCTTAATTTTGCAGAAGAGAAACTGAAGCTGAGAGAAATTAACTAGCTTCCCAAGGTCACCATAGCTAGGGAATGGTTATGTTAGGGATTGAACTTGGGCAGTTTAATTTCTGCTGTATCCCTAGACACTGTCCTCAACACTTCTACATAGCTTATAGACATAGTTACTGCTCAGGTCTACAGAATTCCAAAACCACCTGTCTCTGTGAGATTCCTTGATGCTTTCCATCTCATAATAGATTTAGAACATATCTGTTATTAGCTGTAGATCTTCTGGATCAGATCCTCATCTCAAGGAGGCTCTCTGTACCCCAGTTGGTTCAAGAGTGTAGGCCTGGTACACATCTCATAGCCAGTTAGTAACTTGGCCCAAGAACAGGTCACTGGGCCAAGTTCAGCTGAATGTACTGAAAATTGTGTGTGCCAGGAAACTAGGTCTCTTTATTGACCAAGTCTTTTAAAGTACCAGATGTTTCACTTGTCTCCCAGAGAAGACACCTACCAAGACCCTCCATTTTGATGACTAGAACAAACCAAGGCCAGATCTTTATTTCAAAAGAAGAAAGACCTCTACAACCAAGAAAACTTTATGAAATATGAGCATTGTTTCTGGAAGTTCAACTCCCATAAGCTTTTCAAGTATATCAACTCTATCATAATATTATTTCCAAATCCACTAAAGAAAAATTCTATTAACCAAAAGTGTCTTCATCTGTGGTTTTTATTTGTGGTCTATTGGGTGCCTTAGTTTTTTGTTTTTGTTTTTCTTTTTTCTTTTTTTGGTGGGGGGGTGTTGGGGGGATAGAAAAGTCAGCATCTGTATTTTCAGAAACAGAAAGAATATAAAACATATAAAAGGCTGGTTACAATATGAAAACAACATGGAAATTTCATGAAATGCTAATTCTTCTAGGAATAGATGTTCAATGTCACAGCTGGATCAGCCTCTAGTTTCCCCTTCCCAAAAGCCTTGTCAGAGAGGACAGAGGAAAGATAGAGGAGCATACCTCAAGACAGCTTGCTCCTGTTACCTTTCCCGCCTGTCTGAAAGGCCTAAATCGGATTCGCCTTTCAAGGTTGGCTTTATGGATGCTGTAATTTCATCCATATCCCCCAAAACCATCTCCCATTTGTTCCAGGATGCCCGAATCCCCTTAATAGAGAACAAAGACTTTCATTTCACAATAAGAGATAAAAGGCTTAGAATGAAAATGTCTGGTTGATGTAAGACCAAGACTAAAACAAATTCATACCACTCTGAAGTCAGGCAGTCAGCCAGCAAGAAAAAGGAAATTGACTGGTATCAGAGGTATTCACAGTCATTGGTAGAGGAAAAAGGTTGCAGAGTAAATACGTGGCTCCCGAAAGGGTTGAAGGATGTCAGCTCATGGCTTCTGTCCTGGTCTGGTGAATAGGACCTGTTTTGGGTCCCAGCCCCATCCTAGCTGTCCCTTGTCTTGATATAAACAACCAGCCCCACCCAGCTGAATTTGAAAGGGGACATTCCTGTGCCAAAACACTTTCTATATGAGGAATCAGAACCCTTTGTTGAACAGATAAATGCCTTGTACTGGTGGCCTTCAAGAGTGGAATGAGTTATAGGTACATACTTGTAATTCTGTCTTTATTTCTGATATGGCCTCACGACATTAGCCTGACTGATTAGCATGACATTTACCTGACGAAGAGAATCTAAAGGGTTTTACTTAGGTGTCTCTAGACACTTCTATAATCCTGAATCAGTTCACTAACTTACCTTCACACTTATTTTTATAGACAAAATATCTATCCCAATCTCTAATGATTCATCTCATGATCTTGAATGTGCTAAGAAAAAATCTCCAGCTAATTGTAAATAGTGCTAAAATAGTAAAAGCAAGCACTAAGTACAAATTGTTGCTGTTCTAATGAGATCACTTGGACACAGGAAGGGGATCATCACACACCGGGTCCTATTGTGGGGTGGGGAGGAGGGGAAGGGATAGCATTAGGAGATATACCTAATGTAAATGACGAGTTAATGGGTGCAGCACACCAACATGGGACACGTATACCTATGTAACAAACCTGCACGCTGTGCACATGTACCCTAGAACTTAAAGTATATTTAAAAAAAAAAAAAAGACATTGGTTTAACGTTTATACACCAAATCTTACCTTTGTTTAGGATACTTTTCCTGACAATCTCGTTTTGAGTGGGCCTTTATTCATGTCCTTTTTGTTTCAGCAAATAATGGTGTTTAGATCTAAGTTCTATGCCTTGGAGATGTAAACTTTCACCTGTCATCCCTTTGAAGGTGTAAATTTAGGGTTGCTTAACTAACAACAGTCTAGAGCAATGGAACAGGTAATCAAGAGATTAATAGTTTAAAGGGGGAAGAAAATTATTTTTAAATTGGCAAATAAAAAACTATATAAAGCTAAAAAAAAATCGTTGCTGTTCTAAACCCCATACACAAACTAGCTCATTCATTCCTCAAAATAACTCTACAACAAGGTAGGTACAATGATTATCCACATCTGCATTTGCACATGAGAAAATTAAGGCACAGAAAGACTGAGTAACTTGACTGAGTTCACACAGACAGCAAGTGGCAGGGCCAGGACATAAATTGGGCTTTCTGACTTGAGTCTTGTTCCTAGCCACTATATTACACCACAACTGAGCTATTCAGACAACTGGAAATCTCTTGAGTCGTTTCTTATAAGAAACCAAGAGGACTCATTCAATCATCCTGATTGAAAATCATTGACAGACCTGAGGGAGGAATTGTTTGCTGTGTTAATAATCACCTACTTGCAAATCTGAAAAAGAAAAATCTTTTCTTCAACAAAACTCAAAAACTGAATTTGACAAAAAAATGTTTTTCCAGTTGGAGACAGGTCATTTAGTAGTGCCACTGGGATACTTACCCACAGTTTGATTCCTGCTTAAAACAGTTTTCCCGGCTGGGCGCGGTGGCTCACACCTGTAATCTCGACATTTTGGGAGGCTGAGCCAGGTGGATCGCCTGAGGTCCGGAGTTCGAGACCAGCCTGGCCGACATGTTGAAACCCCATCTCTACCAAAATTACCAAAAAAATTAGCCAGGCGTGCTGGTGGGCACCTGTAATCCCAGCTACTCAGGTGGCTGAGGCAGGAGAATCGCTTGAACCTGGGAGGCAGAGGTTGCAGTGAGCCGAGATTGCACCAGCGCACCACAACCTGGGCAACAGAGCGAGATTCCGTCTCAAAAACAAAAACAAAAACAAAAAACAAAAAAAAACAGTTTTCCTGTATTTCCCAAAATAGAAATATTTTCAATAAATCATTGATTCCACTCCCAATCTACTTATTTCCCATGCAAAAGACTCAAGGTAATATCTACCACAAGCAAGATAAAATCATTTCAGATACTACTTTCTAGTTACAGAGTATATAAATTATCTCTGGAGAACCATATTTTGTTACACATGCTAAACAACAGGAGGTCACTAGGGCTCATCTGAAACAAGACAGTGGAACTCAATTAATCTATTCCCAAATGACTAATGCAATGCTCACATTTTTTGGACAATTGCTATTAAGCAATGCAATTGTCCTTATGAATTAAAGAAACTCTATGTTACTTCCTGTCTAAAAGGATTAATGGTTTACTACTAGTTACCAGTTGATGTGGTGCTTAAGGTTCCTCAGGGCTAATGACCTGGTAGGGCTTACAGTACTATTCCAGGCCAATCATTGCACAGTCATCTCCTTCAAGAAAGTTTCTAACCAATAAGCAGAAGCCTAACATTCTGGGCTGAAAGCTAAGTGCCCCATATATTCCTGGGTGACTCTGAAGCAGGTTACATTTCCTCGGAAGAAGGCTCCTTCGTGGTAAGTTGAACATTTCTGGGCAGGGTAAAAATAATACTTAATATTGTGTTATAAAGTAGATTCTGACGAGTAGGTGAGGGTGTCAAGCACTATGAAGAGAAGTATTTTCTAAAAACTAAAAAGACAATAGCTTCATTTACAATTTCCCCAGGAAAGGATACTTGAGAAATGAAGTTGAGGGTTTTTTAAATGCAAATACACAGCTTTAATAATTGCATGAGAGAGACAAGTTTTTATTTATATTTATCTCATGTTTCTAGAACTTCCCTTGAAAAGCTGAATTTTAAGATATAAATAAGGAAATATAATTCTAAAGAAAGTGTTTTAAGACAGGCCAGTACTATGAAATTGTGAAAATTATTGTGAAGTCTATTCATCTCACAGTCAAATATAAACCTCTCAATTATTGAGGACATTTCATTAAAATGAGTCAGTAGAGCATGATTATTTTACCTAAATATAACAGAGGACTTTTTTAAGGTACATGCCTTATTTCTTATAGATATATGACTTATTTCTATATTCATATTTTTAAGGTTTCATGTTAGTATTTGCAAAACAAACAAATGTACGAGCAAACGAAATATTTGGATCTTGTAAAAGATCCAAGAATTCACAGAGACATCATCTTGATGGGATGTATTTTTTAAATGCATATTCTAAAACATAATTTTTTACTTGTTGTATAGGTAGCAAAATTTGGAACCAATTTATTAGTTGAACATGTACAGATTTTTATAAACTAGCAAGAATATATTTTTTAGAAGTTTTGTCTTTCATTTTACATGTCATATAGTGTATATTCCTATCAATCAAAATACTTTGCAGTTTCAGTATTTAGTACTGTCAGTGAACTATGTCTTAGGCTAAGAACATTCTCATCAGGTCTTACTGTATTCAATAGGTAAAATTACATCTGTCCTAAAGTCATAGTGAACTCCAGTGCACTGAATCCAAGCAAATACTACAAACACAGGTAACATTTTAATGACTGCATTGGAAATTCTGTTTGCTGGAACAGTTTTCCAGTTATTTATTATCGGATTTAATTACTCACACGACTAAGGTTCATGGACAGATAAATTTTAGTGAAATTAGTTTAAAATTGTATGTCTTGTAAAACAAAACTGTTCCCTTATATCCCACCCTCACCTAAATATATTTGTATTACTTGAAACAAGTTTAATTTTCTTTTTCAATGACAGCTTTGAAGAACATCCTGAAGATTATATAGGAGACAATATATCAAGAATCTATTTATTGAATGGTCTAGAACAAAAGCCAGGAGCTCCCTAATGGAAGCACATTAGTGTTTATTTTGATGAAGAAATATATAGATTTTTTAACACAACCATAAAGTAGATAGCTCAGTAAAAAATCAATTTTGGAAGATGTCACTGAACAACTCTTCCAACATATTTCTGGATTCAGTGCCCAGTAATACCAATCGCTTTCAAGTTAATGTCATAAATGAGAACCATGAGAGCAGTGCAGCAGCAAATGACAACACTGACCCACCACATTATGAAGAAACCTCTTTTGGGGATGAGGCTCAGAAAAGACTCAGAATCAGCTTTAGGCCTGGGAATCAGGAGTGCTATGACAATTTCCTCCAAAGTGGAGAAACTGCTAAAACAGATGCCAGTTTTCATGCTTATGATTCTCACACAAACACATACTATCTACAAACTTTTGGCCACAACACCATGGATGCCGTTCCCAAGATAGAGTACTATCGCAACACCGGCAGCATCAGTGGACCCAAGGTCAACCGACCCAGCCTGCTTGAGATTCATGAGCAACTCGCAAAGGTGAGCTTGAAGGACACAGGCAAGTGTCCTCCCTTATTCATAACTTCAGGTCATTTCCTTCTCTTTCATTACACTATGAATGAATGTGAAACAGTCAAATGGAGAGGTCTATTCCAAACACTATCCATCTTACTTACAAAACTGTCTCTAGTTCCCAGTAAACAGAAAATACACAAAAAACTGTTTCACAGATGCTTTTTTCTTTGGATTTTTTTTTCTTTTTTTTTTTCTTGAGACAAAGTCTTGCTCTGTCACCCAGCCTGAAGTGTGGTGGACACTGCAGCTTTGAACTCCTGGGCTCAAGCAATCCTCCCACCTCAACCTCCTGAGCAGCTGGGACTACAGGCATGCACCACCACACCTGACTGACTTTTTTATTTTTTATAGAGACAGAGTCTTGCAGTGTTGCTCAAGCTGGTCTCGAACTCCTAACTTCAAGGGATCCTCCCACCTCAGCCTCCCAAAGAGCTGAGATTACAGGCATGAGCCACTGTGCCCAGCTCCACAAATGTTTTCTGACTTCGGATAGAGAACTAAAGAATTAACTCTAAACGTTAGGCAATATGTTGTTCCTTGTTTATGATGATAGCCTACTCAATTTACTCTTGGTTAAACATGTCAAACTGAATATCAAGCTGGTTTCACGTCAGTATTAATGTCTCTGTCAATCGTATAAAAAGCAAAACATTTGTGCTTGCTGTAGTTAATACTGTGGGTGCCAGCCTTTAGTGCATAGGAGTAATTTTATATTCTTTAAAGAGAGGGCAGAGATTTATAAGATTCAGCATTTTATCCCTTCCTCTTTAAAACTTTGCCTGAGGCTCCTGAATGTGCTTAAGCATATAAAAATAACTAAATTAAATTTAAGTACAGAAGCAGCAGAAGTGGCTAAACTTTTCATTATTTAAGAAATACAGCCAGGGTTCCCAAGTGTGTTAGAAGTATGACGCAGCACTTTTTCTAATCTTTTTTTTTTTTTTTTTTGAGACAAAGTTTCTCTTTTGTTGCCCAGTCTGGAGTGCAATGGTACAATCTCGGCTCACCACAACCTCCGCCTCCCAGGTTCAAGCGATTCTCCTGCCTCAGCCTCCCGAGTAGCTGGGATTACAGGCATGCACTACCACACCCAGCTAATTTTTTTGTATTTTTAGTAGAGACAGGGTTTCTCCATGTTGGTCAGGCTGGTCTCGAACTCCCGACCTCAGGTGATCAGCCCACCTCAGCCTCCCAAAGTGCTGGGATTACAGGTATGAGCCACCACACCCAGCCTCCAACCTTATAACTTAGTAGATTTCTTCTTCCATAACTTTCTCCAAAATATACTGATCAACTTTATCTTCCTGCTCTTCCAGACCAGTTTGGAATAAACATCATTCTTTATGAAATATAATTACCTGCTAAAAAGAATGATTAGATGTCACATATTCAAATGAGTTTACTCTTGCCCAAGTTTTGAGGAGAGAGAAGAAAATGATTGAAACAGTTCCTTTTGTGTGCATTCATCCATTCATTCCTTCAATATTTTTTTAAATGGTCATCCACTCCAGAAAGTCTAGGAATACTACTCTTAGGAAAGATGCTAATAAAGGGGAAAATCTTTCTTTAGTTTCTGCTCACCTTTCCTTTCTCAAGAAAATCCATCTCTAAAATGTATTTGCCTTGGCTGCTACGGTCCCTGACTCTGGGTCCTACCACCAGAGACTGAGTGACTTCCTGAGGAGGAGTTCATGTTTTTAATTTTGTTTCCTTATCCCCTTTCCCCACCAAACCTTGCTAGTCCTGTGTACTAAATAGGCAACAGTCTGCCAAATGGCTGGTTTCCTTATAGGCCTAAGATTTAGATTTTATCTGGCATATTTGATGCTTTAATCAAAAGAAGTTAGCAATGCAACAATTTCAGACAACATGGTAGCTCCATGAAGATTTTTGAGAAGGGAGGCAATCTGGACTCTTGAAATCCAGCTGAGATGTCACTGTCCTTTTCTGTGTCAGGAAAGGAAAGGAAAATGGCAGAGAGAAAAAGGAGAAGAAAAATGAAAAGAAGGTTGACAGAAGCAGCCACCAGGAGTTTCCAAGACATGGAAAAGGCAGAAAGAAATTTAGGGCATCGTAAAAAGATATTTCAATTGTTTCTGAAGAATTAAAATGAATCAAAGTTCTTTTTTAAAAAGACCTGAAATTCTATCCCACAATACTCTACCACATCACGCATGATAATTTTTAAAGCTGCCTCCTTTTTTAAAGTTAGTATCACAATTTAAATATTCTCATTCACCTACTTCCCCAATTTACAACAAAAGAAAATAGAATTCTAACTTCATTAAAAAAGAAATGGAATAAATTCACATTGTTCTTAGGACTGACATTCCAGACAGAGAAAAGTAGCTTATTTATAATTGCAAAAGCCATGGCTTATGTAAATCTTTCAATAAAGGGAGAAAAGCTCTAAAGGATCAGGAGTTTAGAAAGCCATCTAAAGGCCGGGTGTGGTGGCTCATTCCTGTAATCCCAGCACTTTCAGAGGCTGCGGCTGGTGGACTACCTGAGGTCAAAAATTCAAGACCAGCCATAACCAACTGAAATCTCTTCTCTACTAAAAAAAAAAAAAAAAAAAAAAATTAGCCAGGCATGGTGGCACATGCTTGTAATCCTGGCTACCTGGGAGGCTGAGGCAGGAGAATTGCTTGAACCTGGGAGGCAGAGGTTGTGGTGAGCTGAGATCATGCCACTGTACTCCAGCCTGGGCAATGAGAGTGAAACTCTGACTCAAAAAAAAAAAAAAAAAGAAAAAAGAAAGAAAAAGAAAGCCATCTGAATGACCACACAGTAAATAGCTGCATTAGATAAATGTAATAGCTGTTTGGAATATTGCACCACTTTTGAAGAGATAAAATGAAACTAAAGACTGAACTTTGACTTAAAGCATTTTTTTCTTAGACACAAAGGAATGGCAAATTAAAATATTAAAAATTAGGCCTAAGCTCTGAATAATCATTTTGAACGCGTATAGTAATAAGCTACTCTTTGTATAGACTTGATGCTCGGTTATCTAGGAAACTTCATCTTGATTAAATCATGCAGACGTATCTACATAGCCAAATTGGGAGTAGAATTCAGATTCAACCACACAATCTACAATGTGCACATTTCTGCAGCCAGACCCATTCTAGTGTTGCTGAAATTGTACGGCCTAGCCTGCCTCTCCATGTGTAGCAGCCTGGGCCTTCTTCAGTTTATCTCTTTATTGTTTGCTAGTGAATTTGACTCAGCTACTCCCTTACTTTTCCCCCCTCAAATATAAGAAGTGAAAACCTGCAATGTTCTGTAGCTATGCTGCCACCTCCTTGTGGCCCTTGACATTTTTATGGTAGTTCCTCAAATCACAACTAGAAATCATCAACAGAACAAACATTACATGATTAATACTCAGACCCTTCACAGATTTTGTATGTAAAAAATATAAATAATAGTGTTTACTTAAATCATTTAAAAGTAGAAGGTAATTGACATAGTATAAGCTAGACAATACTTTTTGTAACTGTGATTTATAATGCTTTTGAAAGTTATAATAGCAATAGCACATTCATACTGAATGGCAGAACATGGTTAGTCAGAAAACCAATTGGATTTTGTGTAAATTTTGGTTATAATTTCCAAGCGAGAAAAAAGTTACATGACAAAATTATTCTAATAGGTAAAATAAAAAACAGGTTTGAAAGACATTATTTTAAGGCTCTACCTTAAATGAAATTATAGGTGTGATAGATAGTGACAGAATTTGTAATCCCAATGACTTGAGATCATAATTGAATAAATTATTTTTATTATCTATGTTAGTAAAGAGCTAAATACCTACCTATACTGGTGACCATGAATGATAAATTTCTGAAAACTCTACTTAAGAGCAGGAGAAACAACTATCCTTTACTTGCTCTGTACAAGCTCTTATACGAGCTACGTAACTTCTACTTGTCTTGCAAGATGCTTGTGAACATTGGTTTCTATGAGTATAAAGTCTACCCTTACAATGGGTAAGAATTCAATAAATGATCATTGATGATAGTGGTAATTTTTATACTAGCTTTTTATTTTAAAAGTAAAATAAATACTAATAAAATATTTAACAAGTACTAAAAAATATGTAATAAAGTGTTTCTCGTCTAACATCAATATTCAGTTATTCTCTCCAGGACAACAATCATTACTGACAGTTTCTTGTAAATCCTTCCAGAAATGTTCTAGGCTTATATAAACATACACATATATCTATAAATATCTGGATTCCTATCAATCTAACTTTCTGTTTACATTTATTTTCAAACATGTACTAGAACGTATTTTCCACATTGTTCTGCACTCTGCAGTTTTTACCAAACATACCCTGGAGATCTTTCCATATTAAAGCACATGTAATAATTATTTGGCATCTGGCAAAGATTAATCTAGTGCCTTTACTTTGTAAAGAGAATTTTGCTTTCAGTATCCAGCCTAATTCCTGTGGCCAACTTTTCATACAATTCCTTACTACAGGACTAACCAAAATGAAACTCCTTTGCAGCCTTACTAACCACCATTGTTGTTAGCATTTCAGAAAATTATAATTTAAAAGGATTCAAGGAAATATAGAGACTTTCTATCAAAGCCATGTGTCATTGAAATAAGCTATCTATGAAAAGTATGAAATACTATAAAATTAAGACAAATGTTTTTCTTAAAGAAGCTAACTCTATAGAAACTAATCCAAAACAAAAATCAATGGAATGACTGTATATTTGGATCATTATGCTGTTAACAACTACAATTTGTAAATAAAAGCATTAGCTTTAAATGCAGTGTAGTAATAACCAACTTTTTATGGAGAACTTGTTATGTTTCAGACACTGTGCTCACACTTAAAAAATTCTCAATCCTTAACAACAATGCCTCAAGGGGGGTACTATTATTATTGCTTTCTTGTGGATGGTGAAAGTTTTATAAAATGCTACAGATCTTTTAGAAGA